GTCTATTTAGAAGTCAGAAACTTTGGATTAAATATTCATGTTTAATTTTATATCCCTGTTTAATAAATTTTTTTACAATGCATCTACATATGTGAAAGATGGAAAAATGAAGAGTAAAATTTTTAAGGAAAAAAAAAGGGAGTCTTTTAAGTTTTTATGTAAATTAAAATAACATATTACTTTCATACATATATTTAAAAATTCTGCAAAGATAAAATTATAAAATTTTTTTTGCATTTTATTAATGAATCATTAATTTTTATTACTATTAAAGATTAACTTGCTACAAATTTTTCAACTGTAATGCAAATTAAATATAGAATAAACCTAATTTATCTAAGTTTTTTCCAGATTTGATAAAAATAATAAATACTAAAAAAATTTAGTTATTAATAATTTTTTTAACATCCCTGCTATACACAGATATTCTGCATCACAATTCATAGAAAAAAAAACTTTTTAAAAATACTAAATCATCTCACAAAAGAAACTAATAAATATATAAGCAGTATGAATTCAATAGCAATTAAAATCTTATTTAATCAATTAAATAGAAAAATATTTTTAAAAATAAAATACGCAAAATATGACAACTGGATAGGATTATCCTCTTAATGAGGAATATTTTTTTCTTACCTCTATTTTTTTTAAAATATTTAATTAAAAAATAACAAATGGAAATTTTAAAAAATAGCAAATTAAAAAAGATACGAAGCTTTATTATGAAGAAAATTTTAAAACATAAATATTACAGGAAAAAAAATTTAAAATTTACGTCTTTATAAAATCAAAGTGCTGAAAACCAGAGTGTAAGTATTCCAAAAATGTCTATTTAAATATTAAAAATAATAGAATTAACCCCAATCAAAAGTAAAATTACATAAAAAAGCAAGCTTTATTGTTTTCAAATCTCGCCAACAGGGAATATATTAAAGAGTAACTTAGATAGCAACAGAAAACTGGAACAGATGTTAAAAGAAGCACAATTTATTTTGCTATCTATTAGAAAATAAACAATGAATTTGAGAAATAAACATGAAGGAGAATGAAAACAAGATGACAAACATATACAGAAAAAAAAGGAAAGCGCAAATTATGTAACTATTTTTAATTATCTTTAAATGTCATATATAAAAAAATTTAATTAGAAATAGAGGAATATAAACCACAATATATCATCTGCAAAATTATTGTAAAAAAAAATATGTAAATTTTTGGATTAGATATCAGGGATTGATCCAGGTGGAAATTGGAGCTGTTTTGTGGCCTTTTCACACAATTCAAAATTTGAAATATGTCCCATTTATAAAACAAAATTTAAATTTGTAAAAAATGGCTTCGTTACAAAATTTAACATTATAAAAATTATCACACAAAATTGTTTACTGTGGATTCTTGGAAAAACAAAGTGATTTTATGTCAGCAACATTTTGAATCAAACACGTTGAAATTCAAATTCAAAATTCATGTTTCATGATAGCGCGTAAAAAATATTGGAGATTGGTTAACCTTGTAGAAAAGGACGACAAAAATGGTGAATGACGGATGAAAAAATTACCATCAATGTCAGGAAGTTACGATGGAATTATCACAAAACGAATGTGTCAAAGAGGGTTAACTGAAATTTGAATGTCATAATAACATATTTTATTTTATTTTATAACCGTCGTTGAACAGCCGACCCAACTTCATGGGTTTACGACTACTAACGTTCAACTCCGTAGCCTTGTAATTTTGAACTAATCCAGAAGACAAGGAAACTCCTGGATCAGTACCCCCAGAGGTATTGATTTGTTGTGGGAACATGGAGGACTTTGAGACTCGACAGATTTAACGTGCATCAGTCACCATTTACTACACGGGGAGTCTTCGGCCGGCGAGGATCGAACCCACGACCTCTTGGATATGGGCCCAGTGCCCTACCGACCAGGCTATCCCGCCCAATATCAGGATTTGAAAAACTACTAGAAAACAGATTTATAAATTAATTAAATCTAATAAAAGTGTTGTTCATCAGATGAAGCGCTGCAGTTTTAGAAACCTACCACAAAGCCTTCAATGGGAGAAAGATATATTTTTTCACCTATAAATAATAATTTTTCTTAGAAAAGAAGTCATTTTCAAAATGAGGAATTTTTTTTAAAAATCTTTTAAAACATAGCTTGTTAAGAGCAAAAAGGAGTTACCTGCAAGCTAAAGTCACTTGAGACTGAAAATAAATTAAAATTCGGTCATCAACAGTTCTAACAACCTTGGATTTCTAATAAAGTGAACATCAAGATATTAACCCAAACAGAACACCATTACCAAAAAATAACTTATTATGCATTTGAAACTGTTCAAGAATCATTTCACGATAGCTGTCTACAACACAGATTCTGAGTTGAGGGTTTGTATAATTATATAATGCTAAAAATTGAAGTGAATATAAATTAAGTTATGGATAACCATCTTTTGAGATATGGTACATTTACAAACATTCAGTTAGACATTTCTAAGCATTTAGTTCTCTTGTGTTTGTCCATGAACCGGAACAAATTGAAAACAAACTAAATGGGACTTTAAACAAGAAAAACATAAAGTTTTAGATTCTACATTCCTTAGTAAAAACAATACAATGCTAATTAAAACAAAATTGCAAAAGCATCCAGAAAAGGAAAATGTTCATGCCAAATTTAAAAACAATAATAAAGATCTAATTTTAGATAGAGAAGAAAAAAATGAAAGAACTTGGATAATAAAAATATTTCAATACAAGAAATGTAACCCATAAAAATTGAGCAATGGAACAAGTGGAAGTTATAACAAGAATGTATTTTTATTATCATGCACCTTTAAGTTATGACAAGCTAGGCTTGATAAACAACATCAATAAAAATTCTTAAACACAGATTAAAATATCAATCTGAATTATATTTATATAAAATCTATAAATTTAAAACACCCTGATCTTAAGAATTCAGCTGAAAGTGTAATGCAACAATCAGAAGATATTTTTAAAACAATATATTAAGCAAATTTACTTAAAACCTACAATGAAAGCCCAATATTTGCAGAAAAAGGACACAAACACTAAACCATGGCCCAGCTATTCAGAGCTTTATCGTTTAACAACCATAGCAGAAAAGCCATGTAATTTTGACCCAAGTCAGAGTATAAAACACGTGATCCCTGTTTCTCCACCAGCAGAGTGAATGACACTTTTACCAACTGCCCTACTGGAGAACTTGGATCAATTTTAGTCAAAATTTAAACAGTGAGATTTCAAAGCATGATATTTGGTAAACTCCCAAATTATTGGTAGCTGATGTGTGTACAGTATTAAGAAGGACAATACAGACTGAATCAAGATGTTTGAATCTTGACTGGTTATATAAGAATTCAAACAAGTATAAGGTATTACAAGTATTCTTAGACTGATTTTCCTATTATTAAGTGTGCTGGGTTGAAGATAAAGATATTACATAAAATACATTATACAAATTAAATAAAAAATTCTTAATTAACAAAAATAGACCTCACATTGTATTTTCAATTATAATATTTTATCATTAATTCAAGATGCTGAGTAAGTTGTTAGGGAGTCTGCTATTTTCTATTTCTCTGAGATCATGTAGTTGTACTTATTCATAATAACCACATATAAAGTACTCATTTTTCATTGTGTTAAGTCAATAATAAAGGATACACTGAATAATCTGCTTATTTATTGCATTATTACTTTGCACTTTCTTAACAGAAACTTTCAAATTTTCTTTAATAAGAATATCAAGGAACAAAATCTCATGCAGAAATAATATCATCAACATCATAGCATTTAAATAAATAATTACAAAGTGAATAATCTACCTACAGGTAATCAAAAGATTATCACTAGAGTGAACTCAGGCAGAGATTAGCAAAAGTTGAGCAAGTAAAAAAATTTCATTATGTTGAAGAAAATACAGAGCACACACCACCTATCAAAATCATTGTTCTGAAAATATTTATTTTTTTAAGTTCACCGATTTTATTAACCAAAATGTCTACACACTTAGGAACACAAAACATTTCTGAAGTTGAACTTCATAAATTCTCTAAAAGCAAAACAGTTTTAGACATTTATATTTTATTTTTTATTGAATTTACATTTAACACAATTAAAAACAAGCTAAATCTTTTTCTTTTTTTTTTGAATTACAGAAGGGTTTTAAAATATTGGCATATTTGCTTCATTAGCAAAATTTAGAATTAAGGATTCAATATTTGAAAGATTATAAAAGTTTTTGTGACTTTTCAATTTCCTTTTCTTTGCTTAAAGTTCCTTTAAAAATGTAAAACATTTTTCTGATATCTATTGAAGATAGATTTGTCTCATTGAATGATGATAAGTGTTCCACTAACGTTGTTAATTCATAAAGTTTTCATTTAGATTCATTTACACTCCCTGTTTCATAATTTTCTAACTATCACTCTTTTTCCCTAAAAAGTTTAATCCTCACCTATAAGTTAATCATTTTGTTGGTAGGGGCAGAATGAAACTTGTTATATATATGCTGTCAAAACTTGAGAAAATAGAAAATCCTAATTATTCAGACAAAGAAAAGCTTTTTTTAATTTCAAACATATGCCCTAGAAAAATATTGATTTTACAAAATGGCAATTTCAATTTTTTAAAAGGATGGTTTTAGAATATTTTGATATTGTACAGATTCTTTTTGCAGACTTGTTATTAAAAAAGAGCTAATTTTATACTCCACTGATTTTATTAGTGGCATTCATTGTATAACCAAAGAAAATATACGATTACACTAATAGTAACACCAAAATACATTTGTTATTTTATTGAATAATTTCTGATGTTTTAATTTATTTTAGTTTTTAAATGGTGTGATAAATAGTGCAACAGCAATCTATAGTTAATACCATTTCTGAGCCAGTTTTGGATATCACAATAATTAATGTTAATAAGTTTCAACTAAGTATATTTAAAAAATTATGCATAAAAGTAAAGAACTATACCTTGACTTAGTGATAGATTTTTTGAGGTCTTGGTGCAGTTGCTGGACAATTCTCTCAGCTTCATTGTAGGCAAGTGATAGCTTCTGGTGTTCTCGTTGACTTAATACTCTTTCACTTTCAGCTTCATTAACCTTAACAAAATATTATTAAAAAATAAAAATGTTTTAAAACAAAGGGACAGGGTGCGTAGCCAAATCTTTGAATCAAAAATAAGCACTTTTTAAAAACTTTCTTTACAAAAATTTTCAAGCACTCAAAAAATTCATATTCAATCAATGGTATTATTTAAAAACAAAAACTTTTTATAAACAGTTTTAGCGTTAAAAAAAAAACCCAAAAAGAAATGGGCGTAAATCGAAACAATCAATACTTTCCCACATCACTGAGTGTAATCAACTTGACCCTGAACTCAGAACAAAAGTACCCTTACCCCCTATGTCAAAAAAAGTGTTAGAAGTAAAATGAAATTAAAATAAATTAAAATGAAAAACATTTCATAAGGATCTGATATTCTCTACCGGAATTGGAGCACTCGAGTTTCAGTTTGAAGTGTGCGCGCATGCGCAAGTCACAACGTGGGTACGACATGAAGTCCGCGTGAATGATTACGTAGGCAACTCCCCATTTTTCATGAAATGCATGGGATCCACCAGATATCACTGAAGGGAGAAAAAAAAACTATTCGGAAAAAAAGCACTTTTTAAAAACGCCAACTGAAAAAAGCACCTTTAAAAGCTTTTAAAAACGAATTCCCCAAAAAACACCTTTAAGCACTTTTTACAAATGCTACGCACCCTGAAGGGAGTTAGATTTCAAGCTATATTATAAAATTATAATTAATGAAAATCAAGTTTCTATATTCAAATTTATGTTGTGAAATGTACTGGCGTTGTTATACCCTGGTTTCATAAGGCATATTAGATCTATATAATGCAATTCTGCGCTCTACATTCCTTTATCAAGCATATTAACTTTTACAGATGTACACAACGAAAGCTGCAGCTAAGAAATTTTTTTGACTTAGAAAAATTCACTTCTTACATTATTTGTTCAATTATTTCTTAAGAGGTTACAATTTCAAAAGCCGTAACTGCTAACTTTTACGAATTTTTGGAAAGATATAATTTTTATGTTTAAACTGGTAGCAAAGTTTAACTTTTCTTTTCATATCTTGAATTTATATATTTAATTTAAAAGGACAATAAATAAAAAAAGTTATTTGCCCACCATTCCGTTTATATAAAATTAACATATAAAAAAATGTGTTTAGCTTCTAGCAAAATTAAAAGATATTTTTGCCTGCACTTGTAATTCAATTTCCGTCTCACTACCACTTAAAAAAATCATCCCCGGAAAGGGTATAAGTTGGCAGGTAAGAAAAGCTAAGCTAACTAAAATTAATAAAATTTTTATTAGTTCTAATGCTTTCAAAAATCTGCAAATAATAAATACTTAAGTCCATATTTTTACGTTTTTAACTATTTGTATCTAAAATTTATTTTAGAGCATTTTATGATTGATCTGTTCCCGAATAATATTGCTGTCTTGTTTAGTAGATAAAATTATCTATATAACACAAAATTTTATAAAATGCAAATCCTCACATTTCAAGGTTTGCGCTGTTAAGACCTTCGACTGCATATTAAAAAAATGTTTTCAAAACATATAAATTAGAATTGATTTTAATTTAAACTCCAGTTAAGATTTTACTTATTTTGTTTTCCAAAGTATTTTGCCTCTAAAATAAAGTTACGCTGAAAAATATACTTTTCAGTTGCTTTTGGGGCACTTTTGTTTAATCAAAATAAAATTTTAACATCTTTGATTTGATTTGGTTCTAAAAGATTTTTACAACATGGTAAGTTAATTGTAAACAGATAAATTCAAAGCAATTTTTTTAGAATTTTTAACTTTCAATAAAATAAACATATTTAATTACGATTTTCATTACATTAAAGTTGCCACTTTGATTAATTTCAATGTTTTATGTTCCATCATAACTGGAGAAAACTCAAAATACACCAGCTATCTCATCCAAATAAATCTCACAATTTTTGCAGATTTTTCTTAGTGGTAGCCAATTAAAGCAGAAAACTTTCCCCAAAATTTATGGATTATTGAATTATATGTTTGGATGTTAAAAAATAAATTTATTAAATGTTGAATCAAATATTGAAGCATAAATTTCAAAGCACAAATCAAATAAATAATGAAAAAAAATACTTTAGCAAAACTGCTGACAAGTGTCTCACTTATTCAAAGGATGATGATAATGTGCAATAATACCTATCTGTTGTAACATATTTCACAGTACCTTGAGAAGCCGGTGTTCTACATTTTTTTTCCAAACTATAGAGTCTTAATAATTAGTTTTCCAGAACATAGAAAAAAAGACCTTTTGGTCACACAGGTTCTTTTTTTCCATTCATTCATTTTTTTAGAATATCCTGCATTTCATTCAACAAAGTATTATCGCTACGACAGGAGAAATGGAGAATAATGATCCACAGCCAGGTTCCAAGAAATTTCAACAAGATGTGCTTGTGATTTTCCCCATCTTCTCCTGCCTAGAAACTATCAGATATTCATTAATCAGCAGTGTTATGGCTCGCGGTACCTGTATAAAATTTTTTTGTTATTAAAAACATTAATTTTTAAAAAACCAGCATATACTGAAACTTTTAAGATACCTTTTTAATAACAAGTTATTTTTTACTCTGAAAAAACTATTTTCAAGTATAAAAAAATGTGCTTAAAAATGTACTATAAGACACTTAATTAAAAAACTTATTTTTATATTTAAAGATGAGAGGTTGAATATAATCTTACACTGAAAAAGCATTCTTGGATTTAATTGCTGAAAGGCATTTTTTTTCTCGGCCACAGAAAAAAAACTTATAGCAGTACTATTTTTTTAATACATTTACTTTGAAAATGAAACAAAAGTTTGAGATCACATTTGTTTGCTGAGTAAAATGTATTTTAACATGCATTTTAATGCTAGGCATATTTTAAGAAAAATTTTCAAATTGAAATTTTGAAAAGAGTACTAAAATTATTTATTATTATTTTGATAAAGTTAAAAAGTACTGGTGGTTAATTTAGTTTTCAAATTAAAATTTCCATAAAATGTTTAGGAATTCCTTTTTCAACAACTGAACATATTAATTTTATTTTCTCCAATAAAAACTAGGGATTGCAAAGAACCGTTCTTAATTATTATCTCTCTTATAGCATGACATTTGTTTTTAACATTTTTCCTTTGAAAAATAGAGGAAAAGAAATATGAGCTGCAGAATATCAGCAAAGAAATAAGGTTAGTGCCTTAAATCAAGCAAAGGACATATATTTTAAATCATAGGTTCCAAAAGATTCCCACCATTCCCTTTGTGATGTAAAAATTTTTTAATGGCTCCAAGAAAAAAAATCTTTTTTTTTCATAAAGTTATTTAACATTTTTAGAAAGATACACATTTACCCCTAATTTAATAAAAATTACTATTAACCAATGTATTTATCAGATATTACAGTTATTAATTTTTATGAAGGTAGCTCATCCCTAAAAGTGTTTGAAAAAGATTAAATTCAATTTATCCCCAAGAAATTTTAATTAAATAATCAATAAATATTATATTTTAAAACATTAATTTAGTATTTAATACAAGTAAATAAAAAAAAGTGTTTTCATTTAGAAATGTAATCTGCTCAACTTGCAATCTGTCATCAGTGTTCTCTTGTACTGAATCAAACATATTTCAAAATCAGTTAAGACAGTTACATTTCATAAGCTATATCTGAAATCTGAGATTTGTTGGGGGGGAAATGTGAGGCAAGATTACCTAAAGTTACTTGAAAAATAAAATTAGTATTTTTTTTATTAAAAAAATGTGTTTAGTTAGGGAGTGCATCAGTTGTTTCTGTGAGATTGAGATCAATGCATATAAGGAAGCCAAATAGGTAAAAGTTTGAAATTTACAAGAATATCACAGGACCCTTCAACTTAAAGTGGATACTACAGAAGTTTCTTGAAGAATTTTAATTATTTTTAATTCATTTTTCTCAGATTTTTTTTAAAAATTCAATTTTTAAACAGGTATCTTTTCCTGTCCTACAATGGTTTTTAATGATTAACTGGTTAAATTTTGAAGTTTCAGGACTTCTTAATAGCTAACATATGTCCCGGGAAAACTAAACAACTGGGTAAGTTTCTAAAAGGATATATGAAAACTCACTTCTTTAGCATTCCAATTTAATATTTTAAAAAGAAAAATCTCTGGTGGAGATTCTCTAACAGAAATAATTCGTCGTTAAATAATTGGCACAGTTTTCTTTTAGTATTTTGCATTTTCAGAATGCTAACTTATCTTAACATACATCACAGAGTAATTGGGTTCTAAGACCATATTAGTAGTTCTAACGCAACATCTAAAAATCATATTGCAGTGCATAGGTCATTTTACATAGAACATTCAATTACCCAGAAAGATATGTCCAAATTAAACTTTTTCATAGACTTTTGAATTACCTCACTTTTAGTTATCTCATTCAGACAAAGTATATGTTGAAACTATACTCTGATCATTTTATCATGAATAATTTTCAATTAGGAACATTTTATCTATTGTTACTTATGAATATAGCATGACTATTGACCACATTTTCAGCAAAATCAACTACCATGTTGTAAAAATTCAAATCAACCAATTTCTAGAAGCAACTAGAGCCATATTTAAATGGTTTATTTGATGTAACACATTTGCACACTACTGCATACTTTTTCAGGGACAGTTTTAGGGGTAATCAATCAACTATGCATAGAACTCAAGAAGTAGGCCCTTTTTGGTTTACATCAGTATACAGCAACAGTTTTTTTAATCCTTTACTAGAATGTTTGGTGAAAAGTGTGAGGTAATTGTAGCTTTGCTAGTTGGTGGGAGATCCTTGCAGTTTAGTTGTATTATAGCAACCAGTGAACTTTCTTTTGCTTATTAAGAGTGTGCAAGTTAATGGGGTATGAAAAATTCTTCTCTTGAAAGAAATTGAATACATTAGTTTCCAAGCTGCATACTTAGTATGGTTATCAAACCAAAAATGCAAGCTCCAGCTCATCAAGCTGCAAACTTATATTCATATTTTAATCTTTCTCTAGCTGCATAAACCCTTAAAAAATAATTGGTTGTGCATTCTGCAGCCAACCAGAGAAGAAAGAGTGAGTAATTTCAAAATAAAACACTCAAATCTCGATAGTGGTCAATTTGATTGCTATGGTAGTTCTAGGGAGAACTTCATTTTATGCGCTATTATATAACCTGATAAAACTTTTCATGAATGCTTTTGAGAACTCGAAAAATCATGAAATTCAAGTAAGATGATATATTTATTTTAGGAATATTGCCACTCTTTTTGATCAAAATTATCTCTCTTATCGTTCTAGTGTTAGTTTAATCCAAGCATGACATAATCATTAGAAAATCCTGCAGTTATAAAAATAATATAACCCTGATTTTTTAAATAATTTATTTTAATACCAGAAGAGCATCAAATTTCTTTAAATGTTTTTACTCAAATATTTTAAATTTAATGAAGTATGGAACAACTAAAAGAGCATATTAAAAATTTAAATTCATTTTGCAGTTGATCAAAATTAAATTTGCTGTTGGTTAAAATTGGTCTAGTTCTAGTGAAAACTATTATATTTTATAATAGCTGAATGAAAGTAGAAAGTGAATATTTACAGGATCCCACAAAATGTTTTGTTTGGGTCAGCTAATTGTTTTACTGCTATTTATTTATTTATTTTTAATTTTGAAAACTATTATTATTAAGTTTCAGAAATCAGTGATGTAGATTAATAATAATTGCTATTTCTAATGATTTAGAAAATCAGATACTCAGAACAAAATCAGTTCCAGATTCTGGATAGTCCGTTCACTACTATGCTTAGAAACTTGACTTTAGAGTGAAGCAGACACAAAATACTCAACTGCCTTTGTTTGAACCGAGAATGCTTTGAGTATTTTATTCTAACTAAATACTAAGTCACTTCGAAAATGCGATTTAATCTCAATGATAGTTATGGTTATATTAGTATTAAACTTTCAACTGTTTCACTTCTACAATTTGTAAAAATTGGGGTATATATTTGAGTCATTTAATGCCTAAATATGTTGTTAAGAGATATTTTATCTGCCTGGAAAATAGGATTGCCTTGAAAAAAAAAATTTTTAATCTTTTTTGCCACCATAATATTGATAAAGCTCAGAGCATTCATTCTTCACTTCCTTGTTCATTGGTTTTCTATTTACCCCATTAATATAATGAGCGCTAAAAATATTTTTACCACAACCAATCAAGGAATAAGAATTATACTGAATTTCTCTTTAAAATGTTGGCATTTCTGAAGAAAGTGCAATGACTGATAGTAAAATGGAAAGGTTTGAGAGAGCATTCGATGAATGACAAACAAATGTGCACAATGAAGCAATATTAGATTTTTTCTGCTAGTCCGATTGTCCTATAGACCACATATGAGTTAGTAAAAAATACTTCCATAATGTAGATAAATAATTTTAAAGAGAGCAATCTTACCCTGAGTGTGGCATGATTAAGCATTTCTTGCCATGCAGGATCAAAGCACCCTCCTTCCTTTTTTAAACCTTCTTCAGCCAAATAAACCATTTCTTTAGCAGCAGAGTGTGCACTACTTGCTCTTTCATATCTTAGAGCTGCTTTTTGAGTTTGTGTTTGCAGCTAAAAAAAACATTTTTAACCCTGCCATAACAAAACTTTTATAACCATACATAATCAACATAAAATATCACTGACATTTTCACTATTGTAATAAAATTTTAAAGAAATTTATGTAATTTTCTAAGAAAGTTTTCAAAAGAGAGACTGAAAAATTCATTAATTAATTTAAAAAAATTTTTCATTCAAAAAATCATTTAACTCCTCTTCAATGCTAACGAAAAGAAACAGCAAACAGTTTCAATGACATGCTGTATTAAAATATGAGATAAAATTATATAATTTTCAAACTAAGATTTTTTTTTAAGAAAATTGAGACTGGGTTCTAAAAGATCTGACACTAACGCACAAAGCAAGTAAGCTAATAAAACAAATCACTGGGTTTTTAAAACCTTGTGTTTATCCAAAGAACTTATAACCAATTTACTAGTGCTGAAGGAAAGTTTTTCCATGATTAACCTGGGGTCCAACTTATAGATCGGTTCATTTTCTCCATCATAAACAAAGTCATAAAGAGTTTTAATTTTTCTCCTTATCCTCTCAACAGTGTAACGGTTTCTAAAAATGGTTCAACTGACCTTAACTAAAAAAGATAAAGTCAGTTTGTGCCATTCTTTGCTTATTTATAAACGTGTAAATATCTGCAATTCTGAGAATTTTTAGTGCTAAAGTCTGTTGCTCTTGTAACAAGAGAAGTCAAATTTAAAATTTTTATGGATCTTATATCGCAGATATCCAACTCACTACTTTGAAGTCTGATAATATGTTTAATTTATCAGTTCTTTTATTACTTCTAATACTAAAATAAAACTATTGCTCTATAAATAAGACACTGAGCAGCTATAGTACTTAATGCTTCTTTTTCATGTTTGAGAAATAAGGGCAATTTATTTTTCTAAATAATTTTAAGTTCTACCAATATTCCTTTTCTGGCATATAAAGAAAAAACAGAATTTTAAAAAATTATTACCTTCGATGTTCTTTTATTGATTTTAAACTTTGCCATATTTTTAATATTCAAATATATTGTTTCTACTGGATAATAGTATGTATATGATTTTTAAGTCATTTTACACATAATGTAAGAGGTTTTTTCAAACAATGTTGCATTTTATATTGCTTCTTTATTCTCTCCTTTGCCAATGGCCAAATCTATCACACTGTATGCACAGCTGAAAATATTGGATTTTTAAAAAAATTAAAATTTTAAAATTTGACTCATGGTGTTCTTATGAATGTTATTAAAGAATAAAAAAAAAATTAATTAATAAAATAACTTAATTTCTATATTTAACAAAATTAAATGAAGTACACAAAATAGAATATATTTGCATCTATTTTCTCAAAGATTGATAAGTGCAGGCATTCGCTTTTTTTAAAAACTGATCATCAAATGACACTTCAAAACACTTTTAGTATTTACAAAAATAATCAGCTTGATAATTTTCACTTATTTAAAATTTTTCGTTAAATAATCTGGAAATTAATAACATTAATTACACTAGAATGTGCATATAAACTAGACAAAAAAATTATAAAATTAGATATTTCTTTTTGAAAAAGAGTATGTTCTATTTCTTCTACTTGGGTTGGGAGAAATTTTTTGGGAGAGAAGTTTTTTCCACTTGCAGAAAAAACTTGCCATCCTTGCTTTTTAAATCATTTAAAGGCAATGACAGAACTAAATATAACTTGAAATTCTTTTTTAAATTATACTGGAAACAAATTTTTTGCTGTATTTATACAAATACTTGATCTTGCCTAATTTGGGTCTGATGATTTCAAATCTGAAATTAGTTTTGTTATTTTTTTTAAACAACAGATTTTGTCTTTTTTTGTTGAAATGTACAAGTTTAAAAATGCTATTTATAACAGGGAGTTTAGAAGTACAGGAAGAAACAGTTCATATAAAGAAAAGTGCCCCTAGCAGAAAACAATGGCATTTACCGGCTTGGGTTTCTATGCAATTTTAATCCAGGTGATGTGCCCTAATTCCCCTAGAAATCGGTCGCAACATCTCCCTGTAATATATACACAACATTTTTAAGCTTGTACATTTCGAAAAAAAATAGACTAAAAATGTCATAAAAAAACTGTAGCTTGGAGCGAGAAATCAATTTCAGATTTGAAATTGGTGATACACAAGTATCGATGATCTGTTAAAAAATCCCATGCAACAGAGAGAAAAAACAAAAAATTGTTACCCAGTGTTACTTAAGTTGCCAGTAAATTAATAATTTTTTGCTGTTTTTCAAACATTATACATTGTTTTAAAGATTTAAATGTATTTTTTGAGCTTTTTTTAACTTTTTATTTTTTCATTTGCTAATTTATTTACTTTGTAGTCTATAAAAAGTCAAAGCTTTCAGCTCTGAAATAAATCTAAACCTTTGGGGGGGGGGAAGGTGTTTTTCACAAGCTAAACTTTTCTTTTAAGTGCTGACTCTGATATCCAGTGTTTTTCGATGTTGTAATCTTCCTTAAACTGAAAGATGCTATAATTGCTATATTTTACAAAATTTTTAGGAAACTTATATTCTTTTGAACAATGCTTTATTAACCTTTAGTTGTTAACATTTTTAAGGTATTAAAAACAAGTTTAGCAATGCTCCAAAAAAAAAAATTTAATGTCCAATAATTTTTATGTCAAACAATTGAATGGCAGAGAATTTAAAGTATAGTGTGATAAAACAAATAAATGATTAAATAAATAAATAAAAAAATAATTTAAAAATTATTATGTAAAGACATAAAAAATTGCAGCTGATAATTATGCAAGAAAATCCTTTTAATAAAAAAAGTTATTTAATTTGACTTTAGTCAAATATTCTTAAATTCATTACTATCACTAAATCATTATCTATCATTAAGGAATTTTGAGTTAAAAGGAAAGAATGAAAACTCAGCTTAGTAATATTGTTAAACAAAAGTTTAAAGAAATTAAATTCTTAAAGCAGATGTTAAGCAAGAGTTAAAAATGTTTATCCCTACTTCTTATTGTTCCTATCAAGTTGAAAACCATAAAAAATATCATTTTTTTATTCCTTAAAAAACATTTAAAATAAAATGAATATTGTTTTAATGTTTTTAACAATTTTTTTTAACTGCAATTGGTAGTTTTTTGTTTCCATTTAAAAGTCATGGCAAGTTTAAGAAGATTACAAATTTTAAAGAATCTACTCTACACGTAACAATATCACATAAAATATTTATTTAAGTATGAAGTTTTATAGGAGCATCTTAATTTTCTGTAAAACATCACAGTTTTATATGTGTGTTTATATTTAATGTGTTTGTTGTAAGTCAACAGAAATAAAATCACATGCATTGCTGTGATAACTAAGCTATTTTGCTGCATGTAATTCAAAGTGAATAAAATATTAGTAGAGAGTACCTGTTTAGCATGCATTCTAGCCTCATAATAAGGCCTAGCTCTTTCTACACATGATCCAAGCTTCTTTGCTAACTGATTACCTCTCAAAGATGATTCACTCAACAACAGTCTAAAATTAGACCGTGCTTCCTACACAATAGAAATGCAGAAATAAGACTAAACAAAAAATATTATATTATAATATATGATTACTTTAAAAACATTCTAGTATATAATTATATAAGACATTAGCTGCTTGCAGTGACCACCTGGCCTAACTAGACAAACTCACTGATTCATGGTTCTAAGTTTGCTTCTCCTGCCTTCAACAGCATTGTTCTGCTACCTGGGCATTAGTATTTTAAGAACAATTTAAAGGATTAAAAATCTTTTTTGGACTTGCTGCACTGGCCACTCTGACCTGCTCTAACAAACCCACCACTTAGCGATTCGATATTTTCTGGACTTTCAAGAATTTGCTAGTCAGAACTTTCAATAAATCTCATTAATAAAATTGTTTCACTTTTTTTTCAAAAAAGGAATTAACCAATTTTTTTCCTTCTAATTTTAAGCTTTCTCTAGTTTGTTATGTAGTTTTCATATTTCATAAGTGCCAAAGGGTTGTTAAATAGATAATTACTTACCTGATTAAAGATAGTTAGAAAAAAAAATCCTGTTTCTCTCTTGTATTTTCCCCCTTATTGCAAATTGAATTATTTTTCATTAATTTTTTAAAGCTAATATTCCGTCTTTTATATATCTTAAAAAAAATTTATGGTCACCAACCTCCTTTACTAGGTTTTTCTATTATTACAGTATTAAAAGTGACAAAACACAGCAAACTTTTATTTGTGAGCTGTTATTATTGTCTCACTGCCCCTTTCTCAGAAATATAGTTTTAGGAAAAACATAATTTTTGAAGTTAAGAATAAAAACAGTTGGTAGTTAAGCATTTAAAAATTAGAAAATAGTTTTTCCCAATTGCAATTTCAGCTTTTTAAAAATTTTTTTGAATATATATTACTCAGTCTCCATTTAAATTAGTTATTTTCTTACTGAAAGAATAATAATATATAGTTTCTCTTTTATTAATTCTTTTTTCTAAGCAAGGATTTGAATAAATGTAAGTTTATTAGCATTTTTAGTACAGAAAATTTTTTGGAAAAATATGGTAATATAGAAAAACTTAAACATTAAAATTCTCAGTAATATTTTTCTGAGAGAATATTCTCATTAAGGAGGATATTTGAAAATATTTTCCAGAAAGCTACTTACAATAAAGATGTACCTCAAAAATATTTCATATTTTATTGAATTTATTTATTATTTTATAAAATTTTAAACATAAATACTTATAAATACCAGGGTTTGTTGATTTAAATCATTGATTTAAATCAACTGATTTTTTTATATATATATTGATTTTAAAAGTTAAAAAAAAGTGCTTCAATTATTGATACTTTTATTATTTTCTTTTCTTAGTTTTAAAATTTATTTTAAATAAATTGCTACATTAATTAATTTTAGTTAACGAAATTACTTTCTTTCTTCACTTAAATTCCAACACATTTGAAATTACATTTTTAAAAATCTATTGATTCTTGAGATTGAAAGTACAGATTAAAGTAAACATTTAATGCTGTCTTAATATAGACTTGCATAGCTGTAGAAAGTGATTAATAAACATGAATTTTTTTCAAAAAAAAAATGCAAATAATGTTAATTAAAATTATACCTTTTGATGGAAAAAGCATGGAATTAAAATATACATTATATTTTACTGATGTAGGATTAAAAATGAATATTTTAATATAAAAATATATTGATTAAATATTTATTTGTTTTTTGATGAATGGCTGCATTTATAAACACAATCTGTTGCATTTATTTTATTTTAAAAATCAAGAGAAAAAAAAGAAATCACAATTTTAAATTAAAATTATGGTTTGTTAATTGAAAATTTGCTTTAATAGTTAAAGTACAGGGATCTGTCCAAGCCAAATTTACTACCTTCACAAATTCAACTTTAGGAAAAACTAGAATAATTTCACAAAATACTTTTTCTTTAAATTTTATTTTTGTGTCTCGTAAGAAACCATAAATCCATATTTTTACAATATTTTGTGTTGATTTTTTAATATAATTTTTTATTTTCACAAATTATGTCTAAATTTTCTCAAAATAGGTACCTCTCAGTAAAACCTAAACAGACCCCTGAATTACTCTTTAAATTCTCTATTTCATCTAGTCTTTAAATTTCAATCATGCATTTGTTCCAAAATGGTTGCCATGCATTCAAAGCTATGTATTATAATGAAAAATTATTTTAGTAAGTTAGAGCTCTTAAAATATTGTTTTAATATATTTTTAATGTTAGTTTAATTTTGACTAAACATTTATAAAGTTTTTTTAATCATAAATTAAATTTCTTACAGTTTATTTGAATAGAAATAAAAAAAATCTGATTTAAATAAAAAAAAAATCCGATTTAAATCAAAAAAATCTGATTCTTTTGATTTTTTTTAAAAAAAAAATCAAAAAAATCACGAACCCTGATAAATACTAACACTAATCATTATGTAGAACTTTCAAAGAAACTTTCATAACGCTGAAATATAATTAAATACTGCTGACATACATATAAATTAAATAATGCTGATTAAAAATATTGAAGCACATATTCGGCCTGTCCAAAATTGTTCTTAAAAAATTGTGTTTCAGAATTGCGAGTAATCAGTATCGGAAATTAAATATCCCATTTTTAAAAAAAAAAACAAAAAAAAAAGAAAGAAAGAAAGAATTTTTCTTAAAATTTTAAATTTATTTTCCCTTCAAAAAAAGTTGTTATAATTTTCAAATATTTCAAGTAATATTAAGTTTTAAATATCAATTTGGAATTTCTCTTTCTTATTATTGGCAACTTTCTTATCTGTTAGAAAAATAAATCTGAGTTTTCTGTTCTGTGTGAGTAACAACATTAACCCTAACTATCACAATGTGCATTTATTGAATAGGCTACATTTTGCTATGGTTTTCTTGTTCATTATTACAGAATTTGTAAGAAAAATCTTGTTTTGGAAAAAACTTTTATACGAACAAAACTTAAAATTTAGCTATAGAACATTTCTTGTTGAAATCAAAGGATGGAAAAGTATTGTATCCTAGTAAATTTTGTGAAAAGGGTTATACAAAACTGCAACTAGAAGGCAAAATCATTTAAAGAAATGAATGAAATCTCTTCTTATACAAAGCAGCTTCACCTGTGATGATAAACTATGTTTAATTTCTAGAAGTGCATCATTAAACTTTACCGTTGGAGTACTAACAAACTTAAACACAGATATAGATAATGAGTATACAGTGACCTCTCACTTATGCACCACCTCCTTTATGCACCTTTTTCATTTATACGACGATTTTTATAGGTCCCAGTACATTAGATAGGAAAATAATGATAAGCATCCTTCATTTATGTGTCGCTCTAAAAATAAATTTTTCAATTATGCGCCGAAATTTTAGGCTTACATTTTAGTTTTTTAATCCTTTAAATATTTTTTCTCTTTTAAACAAAAATGTTTTAAATTAAAAATGAAGCAAATAAGCAATCCTTGTTACAGATAAAAAGAAATATATGTTGTTAGATCCTATTGAATTTGCTTCCCCCTGTGACCTTTTCATTTTTGCTGTTTCTGGAAAAACATTCTCTCTAAAATTTTGAATAGGGTGTCTTATCTGTTACACCAACAACAATGAAAGACCATTGATCTTTTAGAAAATGACCACTCCTCTTGTCCAGAGGTTAGTTTTACACCCATGCTGTTTTCTAGAAAGAAAAAAAAAAAGACACCTGGAATACGAAAGAGGAAAGAAACCGCGATCACCTACTTGCAGTCAGATGGACATTATGAGTAAATAAAAGGAGGTGATCTGTTTAGTGACGGAAGTACTTGAACTTGATTCTAGGAAAAAAAGGTATGGAAAAAAGGTCCCTGGAAAAAAAGGTACCTGTGTAGGGAAAATATTTAAATGAGAAGATAAGATTGAAGTGCTTTTTGCTGTTACGTGCAAGTTTTTTTTTTTTTTTTCGTGTTGCGCGTTTTCAAAGTGCTTTTTATCAAACTTTTGTTTCTTATTTATGCATTTATTCTTAAAAAGTTAATTAAATATGAAAATGTTCAATAAAATTGTTTACCGTTACTGTTATGATTGTAGGAAAAAAAGGTACCGGAAAACATTATTGAAAAATTTAAATAGTATCTTCCTGCTTGAAAAAATAATCAAAGAAGAATAAACAAATAAAATAAAATTTTTAAAAAAAAGCGTAATACAACAGCCCATAAGTCCCCTCCCCTTACACTTCTCCTTACCTTAATGATCTAATCTCAATTATTACAGCTAAGAAGAATATTAGTTGAAACAGCGAGAAGCATTCATGCTGCCCAGAAAGCGAGTTTGGAAATATCCCTACAGATTTTCGCTATGGAGGTACCTTTTTTTCCAGGGACCCTTTTATTGGTACTTTTTTTCTAGGGACCTTTTGTTTCTTCTATCCTTGAACCTATTGTGCAGCATATTATGACGTCAAGTACTTTTCTTAGAAATTTATCATGTAACTAACTAAAACTTGTGAATGATGAGAACGTGGTGGATGATACTGATGAGATGATAAAGTTTCTCCAAATCACACAGCAGTATTGAAAGCTTTAGACACTATTCCTGACTATTTACAATTTAATTTTGCTTCTGAAACTGCCCCTTATCCCATTTATATGAACTGGAAAAAACTGTTTTTAAATAACGTCGACAAAAACAAATACAAACATGGATTAAGATTATTCTGTAATAAAATAAATTGTCTTAAGGTATGTTAAATGTTTTCTTTGTATAATTATAGTAAATACCAAAACAGTATAAATATTAACATTTAATCTTTAGAAGCATATTTATTCATATTGTCACTGCAATTTATGTTGCATTTAAGAATTTTGAAGTTTTTCACTCATGCGCCTCTTTCACTTATGCGCTTTTTTTTCTCTTGGCCTCTTACACCGGTGCATAAGTGAGAGTTCACTGTAATTTAATTCAATTAGAAAATCACTCAACTTAAAGTAATATAGCAAGCTCCAGCTTTCTAATATCAAAATCATGAAGTTATTCAAGCTCTAAGTCTAACATAAATAAATATTTTGTTCAGAATGTTATGTGCAAGAGCGGTTTTCACTTCAACTATGCCATTATTAATGTCTGAAACTGAAGAATGGAAAACTTCTTTTTAAGGCACTTTGACTATTCTTTGAATAACCTTCAAGATACATTTTATTAAATAAATTACTTATTGATGAGTTTTGCAGTATTGAATTGAGAGTTTACCCAAAAATAGAACAAACTACATCATTAAGACTGTAATGTGATGCCTACCTAGAGCAACTGCAGAAAATTGTAGATTTTATCATCACTACACCCATGTTTGTGTTTAATAATATTTTAGCAACAAAAGAATAACATCATACAGCAGACAATATATGTAGTATTTTTGATGAAGTTCTTAAAGATATAGGCCCTGAAAAGTTACCTGCTATAATCACTGATAATGCTACTGCCATGATAAAAACAAGAGAGTTAATACAATATAAATATTCCCATATACCAGAATACAGCTGTACATCTCACACACTAATTGAAGATTTACTGAAAGCAAATTCATTATCTGAATTAAAAAACAACTGCATTTGTATTGTAAAAGAAATCAGCAATTCATGAGCATTGCATGCTACATTTTATTCCATCCAAACAGAAGAGCACTATGTATCCATTTCCTTGAAAATGCATGTTAAAAATTGATGATCGACAGCTCTAACTTGTTTAAAAAGTTTGAAATCTTCAGCTGTTCATAAAGAAGCTAGCAAGTTTCTCAGAAAACACAGCAAATCTTGCATTCTTGATGTTTTGATTCTATGTGTCAAAAATTTATGATTTGCTGAATCCTATTGCAAAATGGATCACAATGTTAGAGTAGGATAAACTGACCATTAGTATGGTTGTTTAAACATTTATTGAAATCAATAAAAACTTGCAAAAACTTTTACCATCAGCTCCACTTCTGAAGAATGAAGAGAAAATTATAATCACTGGTGTGAAAAAGAGAAAAGCTATGACATTAAAATCTATTTACTACACACTTAATATTTTGAATCCTAATTTTAATTGTGTGAATGTAACAATAGAAGAAAAAGTAGATCAGAATGCATTACCCAATCGGTAGCATCTGTACAAGACATGTCAGAAGAGGAAGTTCTGCCGCACCAAGAAGTTTTCTTTTGGAAAAAAATACGTATTGGTGTCAAGTTGGTCGAAATTCCACTGATTGAATTAACTTATTAACTATCAACAGCAGAAACAGAACGAAATTTTAGTGCTTACAGCTCAATACATTTAGTGAAAAGAAATCGATTGTCCAGCAAAAGAAGTGAAAAGTAAGCATTTGTAGACCACAATATTAAATGATAAAAGACAGAAAACAAAAATAACATGGTCAAGTTTACAAGTACATCTGACTTTGATGCAGAACTTGATCATATGTCATCTGATGAAAATAGTTTTTCATCTTATGAAAAAGAAGATAAGGAATAACAGAAAAATAAAAATTCAGTTAATTAAGATTATGTGTATATTTTCTCTAATATTATTTGTTTTAAATGTTTTTGACACAGATAAAAAAACAAAATTTTATCATAAATAAATAAAAATATTTTTTCACAGATAAATACATAACTAGGGAAAAAATTCTTCGAATTTTTACTTCAGGAGAATATTTTTGCATTACATCTCTAAGAAAACAAGACTCTTTATGCTATATAGATTTCCACACATTCTGGATAGCTGAGTTCTTAATGTATATATAGTCAGAGTTCTTTCTAGGAATAAAAAAGGGCAGGGCACTTACTCGCAGAAAAGGGCAGTTTGAGTTTTGAAAGGGCACTCATTTAACATTATAAAAATTTATCAAAATATGTAACATTATGTAATAACTGAATTTGATCCTCAATTTTTGAATTATCCTTTTATAATATTTTATGTGTATATTTCACAAAGTAATCCTCACTCATTACAAAAATAACAGAAAAAGTTGAAGCTTTTAAAAAATAATTAAATGCAAGCTAAAAGACAAATTGATGAACAACTTTAAAGCTTTTTTTTAACATTTTAACTGAAAATTATGAGAAAATACACATTTAAAGGAGCATTTTTAAATTAAAAGGCATTTATTAAAATAAATTAAATAGTAAAACTTAAAATCACTAAAAAATTCATTAATATACCTCCCTCCCAAATAAAAGATATGAATATCGCTGAGGTCAAATGACCTCATATGTTTTTAAGGGATGACGGCTTATTTTTACAAAAATGACCCATTTATATGGATCAAAGGGCAGATGGGGTAGGTTGCCCTTCTAAAAACTTGAGGTAGAGCACTGATATAATTTCATAAGTACTGTAATTTCTTGTATATTATCTGCAGTGACGCATAATTTACTGACGCAGCTGCCAGAATTTGCATTGTATGTGAGCAAATCTACTTATATACGAGCCAATGGACATTGCAAGGGAAATGCGAATAAGAACCTGATTGGCCAGTTCTCCACTGGTATATATATTTCATCAATAAGGTTCTTGTTTGCATTTCCTAATTTGCATAAGGAAATTTTTCACATCCAGTATGAATGGTCTCTTACATACATTTATGGCTGACGAAAGTCAATAGGAAATTCAAGATGTCTGATGCCAAGAAAATAATTTTGGCAGATTTTCTGTGGCAGGAGGTAATCCTCAGTGATGGACACCCAGATTTTTAACAGATAATCAGTCTATGGAATGCATGAAATTAAGGTAACATGTGGCTATCATTTTAAGAAATAGAAGTTTATAAATTTGCTACTAGACATCATTGGTTGATTTTAAACATTATAAATCTATAACTTAAAGCAAGAACTTAAATAACATAGTTATCATTGACACATAATCCTTTTGTATTTTAACAAATACAATTATTAACAAAACTACAATTGAATTCATTCCTATGTATTTCTGCTGATAATTGTATTTGTTAAAATGTCTCAATTAATTAAAGATAAGGGATGATTTGTGCTCTTCTTTATAAGTCTAATTTCTTCAACACTGCTTGAAAAAAGGTTTCTTTATAATTTGCATATAAACCTATCCTTTACCAAATTGTCCATACTTACATCTAGTTCTATTTCAAGTTTATTAATGAGATCAGTTGCAGTATTAAGACGCTCAAGTTCAACCTATAAAAAATAATGCATATCATTAGCATTGCATTTATAGAAAAAAAAATAGAATTAAAATAATTTTCCAGGTCAAGTAAGTTACGTTGAAATACTTCTCTGAAGTTACTTGCATGCAGAATTTATACTCAATTTACAAAAAACAAGTAAGAATTTTTAAAACCTTTGTAAAATTAATCCAAAAAAAAATTGAAAAAAAAATTACAATTGTTGAGTTAGATTAAGTTGGCAAGTAACAAAAGTTTGATATGAGACAAGAGCTCGAAAAAAATATTGCCAACATGACTGGAGCATGTACATTTACTCTCCCATGCAAGGTCGGGCATGTAAATATTCAGTAAAAAATAATGATTTAACACCCCTCACTTTCTGATAAAAATCACAAAAATGCTGAAGGGGGATAAGAAAAAAGGGAAAGAAAAAAAGAGGGTATTAATTGCTGCATTATAATAAATATGTTGATAAAAACCAAAGTTTTTAAAAAAAGGAAAAGCTACATAGGAAAAAAAATTTTTTTCTTCTTATTTCTAAAAGAAATTTAACACTAAAAATCTCAAATTTTTTCATATTGCCGTATTCTTAGAAAAAAAAGATGATAAAAAATAACGTTCATTAGAAACGCTGCTTAAAAAATACTGCATCATAATAAAAATGCTGATAAAAAGAAAAGTTAATCTTAAAAAAAAAGAAAAGCAGAAAAAAAGTTCTTATTTCTTAAAATATAACGTTAACGTTGAAATCCACATCTTTTTTGTTTACTGATTATCTGTCTTACCGTACAAGAAAAAAGTGACAATAAAAGAATAAAATCTGTCAAAAAATACTGCGCCATTATAAAAATAACAAAAACAAAGAAAAAAATGTTCTCAATTCTTAAACAAAAGTGTTGCAAAAATGACAAAATTGACTTGTCTGAATATAATTTTTTTTAAAAAATTAGCAGTACAAAACATGTGAAAATCTATTAAAATTTCAAAAAAACCTTGTTGAAAAATATTTTTCCAAAAAAATACTTAGCCGAATATTTAGCCAAACATTCTGCCAACCAAATATTCCAGAAACGGACCGAATACCGAATATTTGTGAGATCTTTACACTTAACCCCTTCAGCACAAATAAGAGAAAGAAGCGCTTCCCCAAGGCTCTGGAATAGTTCTAAATAGCACAATTTAGTGCAAAACAAGATTTATTTTACTTTATTTAACTGTTAATAGGATTTTTTAATAAATTATTGTAAAGGTTTTTTGCTTCTGAATTATTTGATTTAATGATATTTAAGTAAACAAAATGATAATTTAATGATGATTTATTTCAAATCTAATTACCATAATTTATGGAAGAAACGCCGCACCTATCGTAAACGCCGCACTTGTGATAATGAGACTTAAAGAAAAAAATCACGGTAAACGCCGCACATGTTGTAAACGCCGCACCCATAATAACGATTTAGCGGCAAAAGTGAATATATAACATTAATTCCTTATAAATACTACTGATGTTTTAAATTAAAATATAAATTAAAATTTATAAATGTATAATTATAATAAAATCAAGAATGTAATCTGCTATTGTATATTTTGGACAAACTGCTCAGAACAACATGTTACAATCGGCTGTTGGTGCCATCATTAGGTAAAAAATTTAAATAACTATATTTATATTACTTTAATATAAATGATTTTTTTTACATTACAGTATAGGACCCAAAATTCGGCACTCACGGGTTCGACCAAATTCTGTATTTCGGAATTTGCAGAATTTCGGATCTCTTCCGGAAATTCCAATATGGCGCCCGTATATTACGATAATTCAATTACGCTGTTAATTTCAGAAAAACCAATAAATTTAGCTAAGTTTCAATTGTAGATTTTGATGGGGTGAATTTAAAACTGTCCCATCTTTAGAAATTTCATTAATTAAAATAATAATCTATAAGATATAATCAAGAAGAAATAATCCGAAGGATAAATAATTCAAGATGAAATAATCCGAAAAAGAAATAATCGTTTCTTCTTCATAGCCAGATCATTGTTCTCGTTTTTTCTTTTACATAACATTTTGTTTTAAGAAAAGATGCTCACCTCGGAAAAAAAAAGCTAACAAGGAACTACAAAAAAGTAACAATTAATGGCAAGAACCTAACAATGAATAACTACAAAAAAGAAGCACACAACTAATAACGATTAAAAAAAAAAAAAACAAGTTAACAAGTGTAACAAAAAAAAGTAACAGTTAATAAGCAATAAAAAGATAAATAAATCGAATTTTAAAAAAAAGCAGCAAAAGCGATAGAATTCATTTTGTACACCAAGTGAGAAAGAAGTTTCAATGTCAAAAGGGTGTGGCTAATTTATAGTCAAACAGAAGAGGGAAATATGGGGGGACAAACCAGTAAAGCACTTGCAGAGCTGTCAAGATTGATTCATCAGTTTCTCCCAACTTGCATTTCTTTATTTTGTTCATTGAAAATGCAGATGTTTTTAATTTACAATTTCACTTTATTTTAAACTGCTTTAGGAACAGATGTTTTGTTTGACACAGATTTATTATTTTTTCTCTTCATGTTTTTATTTTTAAAAGATAAAATATAGTTACTTCCTTCAAGAGAAAAAAATTCCAAATAAAAAGAAAATATGATTGATTTTTTTTCTCTTATCATTAAAATTTCTTTAAAAAAAAAAAGAAGAAAAAAATTGGTCGGATTAAGTGCCGAATTTCGGGTTCCATACTGTACTACATATTTACATTTTATAAATATTTTTTCTAATTTAATTTATTTATTCTCAGGAAACATACCTCTTTTATTTAAATAAGAAGATATCAGTTTATAAGTCGCGTCCATAACAACGATGTATAAATATTAGCAAATACTAAAAAGAAAACTTTCCGCAATTTAATTTTGCCACAAAGCACGTCGTAACAAAGTGAGAAAAAATGTGAAAGAGCTATCAACCACGGCGGGAACTAGATCGAGATCAACCCACTTTCTTTAAGGGGTGGTGGGTTATCAATAATGGCGCCATCTTTTGCCATACTTCGCAACTATTTTGATTTTAAAAAAAAATTCTTTGAAAAATGTAAAATTTATTTTTTAAATATCGTAAACGCCGCAATTAAAATTTTAAAACTTTTAAACTCGTAAACGCCGCGCCGTTTCTTCCATAAATTATGGTACAATAAAGAGACATGATGTGATTGTAATACATGGTGCAATTTCATGTTTAGTTAGGTTCTTTATTTTATTATATTTCACTAATTTATTTTAAATATTTTCAGAGGCTTATTTGATTTACAAAATATTTTTATATTTTAAATAAGCACCCATTTATCAATGTAATACATTTGCGATTGTTATGTATTTCAATTGCAGACAATTGTACATGGTACAATTTTGAAAAGTCATAATGAAAATTATTGAAATCCATCATTTCTGATTTCAAATAAGATCTCATATATTAACAGGGTTCCCACACAAATTTTTTTAAAAAAATCGAGGACTTTTCAATGACTTTCAAGGATTCAAGGACCTATTAGGTATTAATGTTATATGCTAAAGTACATCTCAACCAGATTTTACAATTACGTAGAAGCAGAAATTGTATATTTTTAAATTTATCAGCTAATAATACAAATGATTAATAGTTACATTGCTGTTTCAAATCACATAGAAAAATTCCAATAGACAAAAAAAAAAAACTCCAATTGACATACGATACTAACCAACATTTAAAAACTAGCGTCAGTGAAACTTTTCATGCAAATTTAATGAAGTGAATTAGAATTAATGAAACTGAATGAATGTATAATGCATATAATAGATTCAGTTTCTTTCAAACAAGCATAGTAAATAATTGATAAAGTTTGTGTAATTGCACGGTTATTAAAATATAAATATTTTTTTTAATATGTTAGATCAAATTTCAGGTTACAGGAAATGCATATAATTAGATAAATTATCAATTTAATGTATCTGTTTAAACTTTAATATCAAATTTCCTATTTTATTACTTCAAAATATGAGTAACTACTAGAATGAGAATTGTGAGGCATGATTCTGAAATTACTTAAACACGTTATATGATTCAGAAATAACTTTAGTTGAATTCATGATATGTGATTGATAAATCACTTAATGTGAATCATGTGTGATTTATAAAATACCTTAATATAATTTCTGAAGAGCAATTTGCAAATCACTTTAAAGTAATATTCGATATTTGATTCATTAATCACTTTCAGTTAAACTACAATTCGTAGAACATTTTACATGAATTTTGATCCGTAAATCAAGAAACAGTTTAATGTGAATCACGATGTTTATTCATAATCAATGAAACCTGTAGAACTAAATTTTATTTATCAGCAGTAAAAACTAAATGTAAAAATTTGATTATAAATGATAAAAAATTCATTATTCTTCATACATAAATTAAAAGAACAAATAGAATAACAATATTAACCTGTCGTAATAATAGAGTTAACACATTGAACATATTTCTAAATCAATTAAACACTACATATCATTCAAAAACTATGACTAAAAAACCTAAAATTGACTAGAAATTTCAGCTTTCAAAACATCAGAGCAATGAACAATAATCTGGTCTGAAAAATCTAGGAGAGAAAAGTTTTGCATCTTGTTTAACCCCTCTTTTCACTTCAAGCATTAAAAATTGCATCAATCAGAATTTCTATAATTTTCCTTTGATTTTATTAATTATTTTTTTACTACTTTTTTGAAAAAATTAGTAGTATTTTAATTCCTAAGAAATCAAGTACTTTTCAAGTTTCGTACGGCAGAATTCAAGGACTTTTCAGGGCCCTGATTTTTTTCCAACCAAATTCAAGGACTTTCAAGGTTTTTCAAGTATCGTGGGAACCTTGATTAATTTATTTTATATTTAATAACTATTTTAATGATTTTTAACTGCTTATTTATTTTATACATAATTTGTTAACTGTAACAGATACATTAACTGCATAGTTGCTCATACAATTAAAATTTGTGCAGCATATCCAATAGAGTGGCATTTCGGATGAAAAACTTCTCCTTTTTAGTCAAGTTTTGCAGGTGCAGCTCATCTCTCAGAAACTACAGTATTTTTTTTTCATAGATTGCAGTGTAATATAGTGAAATCTCCAGGAAAGACCACATCTATTTATGACCACTTAAGGGAAGTGCAGAATTTTTGAAGAAATCCTTTAGGAGAGACCATTAAAACCTCTCCTAGTGACTTGGCAAACATCTACACCAAATGCAGAAAAGGTCAAATAAGGAAACACGAAAAAATATAAAAACAAAAAATTTAACAAAACAAATAAGTAGATTAAAATGTATTCACTTGTGTAAGGCTCATTTAGACTTATCTTTCTGACAAAACAACCTTATGTTGCAGTCAATGCTATCAATGATTTACTTTTAGAGTTGAAAGTTATTTTAGAAAAACCAGGCATCTCAAACAAACAAGCCTCTTCTAATCTTTTAAAGCTAACTCATTTTTATGATATAAAAATTAAATGCAACCTAAACAAAAAACATAATTGTTTATATTTAAAATAGCAATTGGTAAATTTGTTTTTACACATAATTATATCAGTTGGGATCATCTTTATAGACGCTAAATTTTGTTCTTAGATCAGACTTTTCATGACACCAACAGAAGTGGCATTTTCACACCAAGAAAATGACACTGACTAAAAATAAAATAGTTTGGGAAAATTCATGTACCGCTGATAACAATTTTGAAATCAAAGGAGGCCCCTAAACTGCGACATTGTCGCAGAACGTTACAAATTTCTTGCTGAAAGATTTTTCCTTTGAGAAGTAAAAAGCAGTTGAGTCTTCACTTTATTGCTCACAACTAGTGCCGATTTCACCATAGTAGTGTTTTGATAATTTTTTTTCAGCAATTATTGCTACAAATTTTTATGTGTTTTTTTTTAAACTCCCGATGTCTTCAATTGCTCTGTTATAATTGATGTTTTAGTAGTTTTCAAAAGAATACTGATATTATTAAGGCACGCAGAGTTTGAATCAAGTATTAAAAAAATCTCTTTGACATGATTGGTTTGCGCTGATATCGTCATTAGTCCATTGGGTGTTTCAATTGTTCTTTCAATAGTTGTTGCTAAGAATTTTCACTTAAAAAAAAAAATCCCGATGTTTTTTCATACAATTGTATTGCACGCGAAACTCATAGGTTATTTATTTTTTTTTACTTTTAATGTGATGATCTCATCGTTTTTTCAACTTTTTAGCGTTGTTTTTTTTTACTTCTTGTAGTTATAAGTGCTACTGATATTCCCAGGGATTTAAAAATTCTGTTTAGTTCTCAGTTGAGATTATTTCTAAACATAAAATTTGAATCACGGATTTAAATAATAATTTTTTACAAGCTCAATTTATGCGGATAATATCGTACTCCATGTAGTGTTTTGTATCTATTTTTGGCAGCTATTGATAATAATTTTCACATGGTTTTTAAATATACTGATACATTTCTGACAATATCGAAAATTCGAATCATGCAGTTGAATTTCTAAATTTTAAACCAATGATTATATCTATTCCTTTTAGCAGTTATTGTAATTGTTTTTAAAATCCGATATTTTAAATACAATATTAATTACTACAACTGCAGAATATCGAAACAAAACATAAAAAGTTGAACGGTGAAGAAAAACATAAAAAGTTGAATGGTGAAAGAAAAAATTTATAAAAATTAATTGACATATTCAGAATTAATTTTCCTTTCAATATTGAACTCCTTGAAATTTTAGGGGATATTTCCGTATCGTGATCTGTCACACCAACTACAATTGCCAAGGTGTTAAATAGATTTTAAACTTGCAAATTTAAAAAAAAAAAAAACATGCAGATGTTCACCCAGGGGTGAATACGAGTTATACGTTATACAGTTCAAGTTTGTCCCTTTTGTGGTGATGTTCAGTTCATCTCCACACACATTAAGATAAGAATAAAAATGAATAACAATTAAAAATAATATACTCTGAGATGTTTTTTTTTAAAGTTTCTTACGGGCCGCTGCCCAGAAGTTGCTATGAATTGGTGATTATCCTACCACAGATCACAATACCTTAATGTCCCCAAATTTTGAATGCGAGTAAAGATAATTTTCCTCTCCAGCAAAATTCTTATACAAAAAGTAGTTAAGTAGGTTGCATTATTAAAAAAATAGTTGCAGTTAATTACATTTGTAATAAGGTTAGTGTAGTTATAACTTTTTAAAAAAAATTAGTTTTTCAAACTACTGCCTACCCTTAAAATCTGATACTAAAACTTGAGATAAGGAATTAAATAATTTATGCTACAATTTTAATGATTTAGTTATATCACTATATCTACCATGAAAGGCCGAAGTCATAATCAAATAATAGAAAATTAAACAATGAATAAATATTTCTTACAAAGAAAATAATAACAGAAACATTTTTGAAATTAATAGATTAGTTTGTAATTACTTGCACTCGAGGATCAACTAATTCTTCATTATTAACTTCATTAACAACAGCTAAGTTTGGTTGATTAGCTTCTTCGCCAGCTAATTGGGCATCTGACATATTACGAAAAGCTTTTAACTACGATCTGTTTTAGTTAGGAAACAATCATTTTTAATTATATGTCTTACATTTATTTATACATTCATTTTGACTTCAAATATCATTTCAAGAGCTTTATGCTTCCTATTTCTACCCTGTTCAAGCTCAAAAGTTTATTTCAACAGGCAATTACTTTAAAAACAACTTCTACGTCAACTGCAATGATAATGAGGTACAGTCACTCGAAAAAATAGCTGAGCACCGTGACCCTTGCAAAATAAAATTGGAAACGCAAAACGACACAATAAATAGTCNCGCGATGCTCAAACCAAGAATGGCTCAAAAGAGTTATCTGGAGAGAAGACCGGTTCCATGTCACTATGATTTGTATGTATATATATATATATATATATATCGCAGAAGTTTCCTTCATTAAAATGCAACGCGGCTGGAAGAAGCCGACCAACCTAATGCAAATCAGCTTTCCCGAACGGCGCGCACCTACACTCAACGAGTATAAAACGAGCTCGCCTTTCGTCAGCATTCGATTTCGACTTCAGCCCTCACCTGGAGATGTGGGCCTGACCAGGCCAGCCGAGTCCGGAAGTATTGGTGCCCCTTCTACTTACTCAGATGGTTGACTTTACTTTTTTACCGCTTTTAGAATTTTATTTGTTTATAAGAAAATAAACGAAGTTATTTTTATAAAAAATTTCTGGTGTCTTCTAATTGCTAAAAGCTCATCATCAATCTCAGATTTTTTTATATCTTACCTGACGTAACCATAAAACTAAGGAAATTTTTAGTTAAACGCTTATACTAAATTCTATTCTTAAATCAAAAATTGATCGCAAAATTAAAATATGATGATGACACGCAAGGTATAATTTTTTCAAACAATTGCTCTCACAAAGCGAAAGTTTTTCACCAACTGTTAGCACTGAAAAAATAGTGTGCTAGTAATGTTTGCACTGCTTCTATATTGTCTGCTGCCCAAAATGTTGTACTTTAGAAACATAAGTTTTGTACTATAGTTTGTCCAAGCTAATAACTCCTCCCGCCAGAAAGTCTGAAGTCGTCTGGTGCTATGGAAACAAGAATGGCGCATTTTAGGGAGGGTAGCTTCACTCTAAGACTAACACAATAGATCGAAGAAAGAGATTCCCTTTCTCTCGTCGACCCGATACCACTCCTAAGCAGTGACCTCACCCCCTACTTGAAATAGTCATACCTCGTTACCATAGCTACCGCCACAGGCCCAGACGAATGTCTGGGGGAGTTCTTATTTTAGACAAACTATACCTCAGACAAGCATCAAGGCTGGAGAAATCTTCCACTTACTTCTCCTATATGAATCTTTGGAAGGTTTTAGATTAATTATGCTTTGAATGTCCCTTTATTTCTTATGATAAAGATTTTAAAGAAGGAAGCAATTTTTTATTTACTTTTCAGGTATCTCTGTTTTCTAAAAGAAAAAATGTATAAGTTTAAAACTCTTAACTACTTTCACTCGTCGAAGCTACGAATGTAATCTGAAATGATGACTAAAAAATATATTGCATCATTTTATTCTTTTCTATTTTCAATGTTTTCTTTTAATATTCCGATGCGAATATCTCTAAACAATCAAGGTTAAACTTCAAAATTATTTTTATACACTCTGGCTGATCATTTTAATGTAAATTCCAAATTTGACTTTTTTGTTGTTGACATTATTCTTCGAGATGTTGCATAGAAAGAAGGTATTCGCAAATTAGGTAAAACAAGAAGACATCAACATTAAAATGTAACCTTTTCTGAAAAGTGATTAGAAATTATTATCCCTATACTTTGAAACAACTGGCTAAGAAATTTGTTTCATTTATATCAATCATTCATAACTTTCTCTATCATACTAAATTCGTGTGCTAGGATTTATAGAAGGTCTATTTATAAAAGAGAAAATACATTGGAAAAATCTATTTAATATACTTTTTACACTTATCGTTAATCTCAATATGTACAAACTTGTACTCAACATGCATTTACTGTTAACAAAATGTACAAATTTTTTCAACAGTCTTTAAAAAAAATTGAACTTAATGGTAGGATTAATAAAGGATCCTTGCATCGTTTGGTCCATTTGTTTTACAAATAAGTTAAAGTTATAAAAGTTAAGAACATTATCTTTTAAATGAGTCCAGATTTGTGTTTCAACAACTATTTTATGTGCAATTGTTTGAAAAATATTATGTGCAAATGTGCAATTGTTGATAAAAATCTGCCTATAGTGTCCTTGTCCACACACCACACATGATACTTTTTGCAGAAAATTATGAGAATTTTAAATCAGAAATTGTCCGTTACTTGACACCTTCTAATGGCTTATCGGTATTTTGAATAAATTAAAATTCTTTCTAAAATACTCCATAAACATTTGTAAGTGTGTTCTATAAATATTTCTTCCATATACAGGGTGTTCAATAAAGACTGTCCTTCATATGTGCTTTTATAATTCTTATCATGACTTAGTTTATCATTTTTATCATCTTCTGATGAACTGCCGAGAAAATAATATTTTTGATTTTATACTGTAAAAAATTACACAAAGTGTAAAAGGGTAATGCTATATAGAATGTAATTTAAAGATTTAAAAATGAGCTACCCCCCTCTCTTACTCAAGTTTTCAAAAAAGTTTTGATGTTAAACAAAAGTTACTTCATTTCCTGACAAAAACTAAATTTCTGAAATTTTTAATTTTAGAGAAACTTGTGCATTTTTTTTTCAGATTTATTTTTGAAAAATTTATCTTCTTTTACACATATGTGCTAAGGCAGTCAATATTGACTGCCTCGTCCCTCATATTCGGGTGACAACAAAGTTTCTGATAGGGCCACGTCATCCGTTTTGGGGTGACGCTTACTGGACTACTTGCGAACTATATTCGTATGTAAAGATATTTCAAAGGAAATAACCAAGCTATTGAATTATTATAAAAGTAATACAAAAAGGACTTATTAAGAAAATTATTGTGAGCCTCGTAAAAGCTTTCTTGTTCACTGCTATTTGACTCACTAGGAAATAAGTTTTCCATTTTTTTTTCTCTAAATTTTAACGAATTAGGGAAAAAATTTAAAGTTATTCTCCTCTTTACTCGGCAATGATTCAAACTGATCGTGTAAAGTGCCGAGATGAGAAAATGATGCGTAGAAATGGTCACAAATAACGACTTGATACTATGGAAACTAACGGAGCGAGATATTATTCTTGTGACCACCAGAGACTCGCATAATTAAAATATCGGTTGTTGTGTCCAATCCTTCAGGATCTAGCGACAGCTAGATCAAATCCAAGAGACCGTGGACCCTAGCAAAATCAAGCACCAGAAGTGGGCTATCACGGATGTCCGCTAGAGCTAGCCCCAAGCAGTCGAGGATATGATCGGGGGAGGCCGGCATCAGATGGCACTTGGTGCACGTTGGAAAGACTTTGCGGCCGCATTCAAAGGTCATGCTTTTGAGGTGCCCACTGATAAATCCTGAGGCGGCCGTTTGAGCCTGTCTGTCAGCCTCAAGATCCAATGCACATCCTGGTCTTTTCCTACAGAACCAGGGATGGGCAGGAGGGGAGAGCCAGACCTGCCGGTCTCTATTTTTCGTCACTGAGAAAATCTCTTGAAAAGTGAGGTCATAGTCGGTAGTTGCCATCTCAGAGCAGCCTCTTTTAGCCAGGATATCCGCAACTTCGTTACCAGGGACGTTGACGTGAGAGGGGATCCACTGAAAGTGGACCTCCCTACGATTTGCAAGAATTTTGAGCATATTGATTATT